TTTCAGAATAGATTACTACCAATTTCAGCCTTTACTTGGTTTGTGACTTTGGGTAAGTCCATTTAATCTCTCTGAACCTTCTTCTTTAATGGAAGTAATGTTCATTTTCTATAGTTTTTTGTTAAAATTAAAGGATATATGGAAAAGGCTAACTATTATACAAATAGGCAGATCAATATTTTATATTTTCTACATATAGATAGCTATTGTACTTTCCTCCCACTTGTCTACTTCTATTCTTTGCACAGTAACTGTTCAGGTTTTATCATGCATCTACCTGCTTTCCACATCTTTTTCACATGTCCTTCCCCTCTCCCCCCAAATCTGATGGTCAAATGAATCTTAACGAATTCAAGTTCCAGTTGTTACTCTCCTGCTTCTGCCAGACAAAACCGCTCTCTATCTTAGAGGAAATTCTGTACCTTATTTTCCATTTTCTAGCCCCAGCCCCACCCTACCTTCCTGTGATTTTTCACGATGCTTTTGGCCATTGTTATAATTCCTTTTAAATATTCCTGCACAGAGTGATATGTGCTTGATTAAATTAGTGCCGCCAGTCAGTTGCCCCAAGTTTACACTTCAGGACTAGTGGGTTTGGCTCAGGGGGTAGTGTTGGCCCTCGGACTGAAGGGTTGTGGGTTCGATTCCGGTCAAGGGCACGTATCTCAGTTGTAGGCTTGATCTCCGACACCAGTTGAGGCAAATGCTGGAGGCAACTGGTCAATGTGTTTCTCTTACATCCACATTTCTCTCCCTCCCTGCATCCCTTCCATTCTAAGAAATCAATGAGAAAATATCCTTGGGTGAGGATTAATGAAAGTTTACACACTGTGCTTTAGATGAAAAAACCCTATTAGAGAGGTGGCTATCACAAGTACCATCTACTATCCATGTAGTCATACCAGCCAGATGCTTGCTTAATTAGCACAGAGAATGTCAGAGTGGCTTTTTATTATATTGATGGTGTGTAATTAGTATGATGCATATTTGAAATGGGTTCTGAGAAATTAAAGGTGTTCAGATATGTACTTATAAATAGGCTAAAATGTTCAGACATTCTCCATTATTTCATAAACTGGGTATAAGATCCAGCAAGTATGATACACTTTGCCCTTAAAGGTGGTTCCCAAACCTTGAACCAACAGTTCTATGGCTAGATACTGGGTTTAAGGATTTCTGGTTCTTTCATGCCCATTTAAAGGATATGAGTCTATTTTTCATGCAAAGTATGATCAAATCACCCCAAATGATAAAGAGCTAGAACTTCACCATTTGCTTACAAATTATAGGAACAGTTTTGTGCTTGGTTATAAGAAATGCTTAACAAATGTCTGAGTGGTAGAATTTGATCTAAGACTTTCATTGGATTCTGTTAATATGACTTTGGGGGAATAGCTCTCACCCATATTAAACTTTTTGTTTAACCAACAAAATCCCCAAGAGTTGGACATGACAAAACTGTCTTCAGCTCGGAATAATTGGACAGTTTTAATGACCTGAACACTTTTCCACTTCCTGTAAAAGTTTGCCTGCATGCTTTCCCACTTTCTGGAAGGCCCACTGTGAATACCCAAGTTCTGTAACTTCAAGTCTTCCCAGATTTCAGGTAGATCCCTGTCAATTCCAGCAGTATTCAAGCTGAGTACCACTTACTGCACTTAAAATTTGTCCTTGTGGTCCACTTTATAGCACTTGGTAGCTTTTTTTTTTTTTTTTTAGTAGAATCACATATAGGCTGTATTTTTTATCCTCAAACTATGTCATACAGTGTTTCCCTCAGTACATGTAAATTAGGATTGAACAGGTGACTAGTGGAATAAATATGCTCAAATTGCCCAGTGTTGGGAGAGAGAGCATTCATTAATGCTACAATTACTGAGTGCTTACTATATACTAAGCATTTTTCTAGGCAGCAATCCATTTTCTACCAAGTTTTCTGGGTAGGCAGCAATCAACACGACAAAGTCTGCCTTCAGAGAACTCATATTCGAGTAGAAAAGACAACAAATAAGTATAAAATTAGTGATAAATGCTATGAGGAAAAAACCAGTTAAGAGAATAGCAGTGGCTCGAGGTTGCTATTTTAGAAGAGGGTAGAGTGGGGAGATGTGTAGGAATCTTGAAGGCTGTGGTAACTGATTTTTGTGAAGGGAAACCTAGATACTTCTTTAAAAGCGTTGCCCATAGGCCATAGAAAGATTGGCTATCTCTTAGTCTGTGGATACTCCTACTTGTCTCCAAATACTCACCCTCCCCTTCTTGAGTAACAGAGGCTGGTGTCTAACCAGACACAAGACACACAGGTGGGGATGACATAGTCAAGCCTCACTTGCAGGCCATGGGACTATGTTCAGAACAAGAGCAAAAGTAATTTGTGCCTCTTGCAGATCATGCTTTTTTTTTTAAAAAAATACCTATATATTTTTTATTGATTTCAGAGAGGAAAGGAGAGATAGAAACATCAATGATGAGAGTCATTGATTGGCTGCTCCCTGCATGCCCCCACCTGGGGATCGAGCCCACAACCAGGGCACAGGCCCTTCACTGGAATTAAACCCGGGTCCCTTCAGTCTGCAGGCCAATGCTCTATCCATTGAGCCAAACCGGTTAGGGCAAGATCATGCTCTTAAAAGGAGTCTTCTGTCTTCTCCCCCTTGTGCCTTTCTCCCTTAGTTGTTTGGATACAGACAGGTGGGCAGAAGCTGAAGCAGCCATCTTGTACGGTAACGGACCCACTGGTTGAGGATGGCAGAGCAACAACACAATAGGAGTTGGTACATCACCCCAGACTGCTTATGCTGTTAAGAAAGGAATACACTTCTATCTCGTATAAACTATGTTTGGGTTTTTGTTACGACAGAAGTAGCTTGTACCCTAATTCAGAGGCATACTGGAGAAGCAGTATCTTACCCACAAGGAAGTTAATTACAAAATCAGGAAGTATTTATGGGTATAGCTCCAACAATTCAAAGGGCCAGAATAAAAAGGCCAGGATAAAAAGGCAGCATGATATTCTAGAAAAAAAACTTAATTAATCCTGTTTTTTTCAGCCCCACCTCTGCCTTGTAACAATAGTAAACGCTTGAAAAAGTTCTTTTTCCACCTACAGAATAGGGTTGTTGTGTATAATTACATGGAAACACTCTGAAAGCATAATACAGCTTATCAACAAATGATTATAGCATTTGGTTTACAAAATAACTTATTTAGGCTTATCAGAGCTAACCTTAACCACTCAAATGGTTTCTTTTCATGATTTATGACTGAAAAGGAGTCTAAGCCGCCTGGAAGATCCTTCCCAAGTCTAAGTATATGAAAGATAAAGAATGTAACATGTCACAATCTCCAGGGCTACATTAGGATTTTAAATATGAAAATAATTTAAATTTTTAACATTCATTGGACAGTTTATCCCAAATCTTTCCACTGGGATAATTTGTTTCAACCTACTCCTCACTGAGTACTTGGCAGGAATGACTAAGTGACCCCAGCCCCACCCCTGGCCCCGTCAATTTCAAACACATGGACCCAAATGCTAAGAGTATGTAAGCTTGATCCTGAAAGGTAAAATGAATGTTTACTAACTAAAGGACAGTCTGAGAGGTAAGGTGGTAATATCTGTGGAAGGAGCACACCTTGCATATGTTTCTAACTTGCCTAACAGCCAGCCAGCCTAGGTTACAGCCTCTCGGAGGAAGGCAGAGAGCACAGAATCCGTGTTGATTTTAGGCCGCTCCCAGCTTCAACAAATCCTCATAAGCACAGTTCTTATGAATGAGCTAAACAGAGTAGCCCCGCTTTCTCTTTGGGGTTAAAAAAAAAAGCTGCCTTTTAAAAAAATACTTAAATCTTCCAGCTATACTGCCCGAAAATCACTCAAAGTCTATAGTGTCTACATCCTTTGATCAATTGACACTACCAATGAAACAGAATGAAAATCTACACATGAACAGAATTCTCAGACCTTGATGTATAAAATGCATAGTACGTCATATTTTTCAAGATTTAAAATATCCAATATCAATAAAGCTGATATATATATATATATATGAAACATAAGCTTCCTACTGTGAGGTGAGGTGCCCTATTAGGCCCCTGATCTCATCTGATTCTGTAAGGCATTATCCTCATTTCACTAATGAGGAAATGGGATAAGGTAACTTGTCATAATCAAGTGATAAAGTCTGCCTAAAAAATATATTTAAAAAAACTTACTTTAGTAGGTTAATGTAAGAAATAAGACAAATTGACTATTGGGAATGTTTTTTGCAAATCTAGGCTTCCAACCTAAAAAAATATATGTATTTTTAAATATATTTTATTGATTTTCTACAGAGAGGAAGGGTGAGGGAAAGAAAGCTAGAAACATTGATGAGAGAGAAACATCGATCAGCTGCCTCCTGCACAACCCCCACTGGGGATGTGCCTGCAACCAAGGTACATGCCCTTGACCGGAATCAACCCGGGACCCTTTAGTCCGCAGGCTGACGCTCTATCCACTGAGCCAAACCGGTCAGGGCTCAACCTAAAAATATTTATACTTGCTTTGTAACTTGGTTTCTTTAGATGATTTCAACCTTTTTCATGTGTTTATTGCTTCTATTAGACTAATTTCCTTGCAGGCAGACAGGGACTAAATTTTCTATCCTCTGGAACATACATGGACTGCCAAACACTGTTCTGTAAAGGTAGGCATTCAATAGACTTGTTTTTCCATAAACCTGAAACCAAAATGAGCCTTAAAAATGTTCAAAATAGTCCGGTGTGGCTCAGTGGTTGAGTGTGGACCTATGAACCAGGAGGTCACGGTTCCATTCCTGATCAAGGCACAAGCCCAGGTTGCAGCCTCGATCTCCAGTAGGGGGCATGCAGGAGGCAGCCGATCAATGATTCTCTCGCATCATTGATATTTCTATCACTCCCTCTCCCTTCCTCTCTGAAATCAATAAATTCAAATATCTAAATAAAACAGTTCTCATTTAAAATAACATACACCAAAAGAATATGAAAATATGCATTTATTACCAACAAAGTAGTATTTCCCACAAAGAGGTTTTTTAATTACACACACACAACAGGACAAAATTATATTTTCTACCTACTAAAGATTCATACTCCAAAGAAAATAAGCACATGTTAAAGACAAGTAGAAAGCAGCAGCAGATCTTTCCTTACTTTGAATACTAAAATCTTTTCAATGGACTCTTTCCTCAGGCAGATCAATGAAGATTTTGTCATTAAAAGTACTTGCTTGTCACCTTAAGGTTTTCGCAATTTGAATGAAACAAAAAATAAGATTTTGCAGAAAATATATGAAATTTTAAGTGGCTGATACTCTAATGTGCTAGACATTATTCTTCTATTAATATGTTAAAATGATATATAATTTATCCTTCACAGCTCAAAATTCAATGCAAAAACAAATAGTAACCTCGTCTAGTAAAAAAATGTAAATGCTAACAAATAAGTTATGGAATAATTGTTAAGATATGCTAAGTGAAATAAAATTGACCATTATATTTTATTTTCAAATGCACATAAAATTCAAGCTTCTCTGTCACACTGATACTCATTTTGCAGAAATCAGATGACTGGCACTAACTTAGACAATAAACAAACGACACCAAGCACATATTAGTGAAGATATTTTGTTGGAAAACAAAGTATTAAACAACAAACATTTTTGGTAACAATATCACTTTAGCAAGTTTTTCAGTGTTTATATATATTGTTCATACTAGGAAAAATGCTACTTAAAAATATTTTTCATAGTACATGCATTAGACTTAGTTTAAGAGGAGAAGGCCCTTTTAAAATTTTTATAAAGAAAACATTTTAAAGTGAAAATGTCTAAGTGAAAGGACATAATCTATGGTTCATTACTTTTTGACATAATAAGAAAATAAATTTCAATGGCTATTTAAGAATATACAAAACCAAAACTGAATGCGATTTTTCAATTTATTCAACCTACCAAGTCAAAAAAAATTAATTTTGTCATTACTGGCACTAACCCTTGGATTAGTCCATTATCTTACAAGTTTTATTTTTTAAAAGAATAGAATTTGTTTGGCACTGTTAATTGGCACAACTCAGAGATAAACAAACGATTTTCTCCTCTATCCTTTCATACTGAAAGAAACAGTTAAGACTAGATTTTCTAAGATAATGGGGTAGTATAGCACTGTAAGGAAGGACTTATAAGGTTAAGTTCTAGAAAAATTATGGTTTTAAACAAGTCAACATTTTCCTTCACTCTTTACATAACACTTAAAAATTTCAAATATAAACTGTAGAAACCAGTATATGAAATCTTAAGAAAAATCTTACTAAAAATAATTATAAAAATGCTCTTAGAAATTTAAGATGTAAAATACAATTGACTTTAAATTAAAAAAAAAATCCCATACACTTTACAGTTATTCCTTAAAAACCCTTGTCACTTGATTTTATATTCTGTCAGTCTTTTGGTTGAATTTTGCATCATCTAGTGGCCACCTTGTGGCATTTCAAAAAAGTCCCACTACCATTTTTAACCAGTACTTTTCCCCTTTGAGATACCAATACAATTATAATAACAAATTTCATAAAACTTTTTTAAAGGCCCATAAAATTCCATTTCCTATTGGTGATAAGGTAATTTTTAATAGTAATAAATGAATAGATTTGTCATAAATTATTACTGTACATAAGACGACATTTCCATATCAATTTTTAAAAATTAAATATAATACTGGGAGAAAATATGACTTAAGCTCTATAGTCATCTTTAGACTAAAGTAATTAAAGTTACTCTGCAATTAAAGCTCAGGGTTACCATGTCAACTAAACTTCTTGTGACTGATAACCCCTTCCACTGCACCTTTGATTTGAAATAGTAAATACTTTTAACATGGGAACCCAATGACTTGTGGTTAGAGTGGTAAGGACTCAAGTCAACAAAGACTGAAAAAAGACTTAATTTTTACTATTGGAAGATGCTATTCCACAGAAAGAAGTTATTATGGTCTCTGTTCATCAACCCATTTGTATTTAACAGCAGGTTTCCAAAAAAACTGATCTTTTAGTCTTAATGAATCTCCCTTTATTCAGTTGAGCCATACTTATAAATAGAATTTAACAAAAATCCCAAAGGTCTCTTCTTTTACTTTATTGAGAAGGTTGAGTGAATGTTATACGGCGCCTCCGTCTTTGGAAAGCCTTTAAATTCCATCTGTTTGGTTCCAGCATATGAGGACCATTGTAGACAAACAATACTGTCATCTTTTCAGAATAAGGGAGATTCTGTAGGAGCTGTAAGTGTTAAAACAAGCTGTCATATAATGCTATATATACTAAGAAGTACAATTTTCCAACTTTACACATGTAAGAATATTTTTTGTAATATTAATGAAACTCAATATATACCCTGCCAGACTGTGATCCTTACCTGAATTAGTACATCTGAAGCCTGGCCTAAGGAATGATCAACATGCTTAGGGAACCTTCTACATTCACAGGCCGAAAGGGATGAGACAACTTCTTAGGTAAGACCTTGGAGAAGTGTGTCCTCCAGAATTTTAATTGGATAGTCACTTTTACTCATTTTTCCCACAAACGCTTCTCAAGCAACTTTTGTGGTCAGGCATTGTGATAAAAGTATATACCAGGGAAGGTTTGGTGTATAGGGCAAGGTGTTTGGTAAACAATAGGGTATTAACAGATCTGGCTATTCCACAGAGTGTCTGCTGGAACAAGGAGAGAGAGTACACTATTCACTAAAAATCTGAATTTAGGATGGTCTCACCAATGAAATTTTTTTGTGTGGGAATACTTAGTTAAAAAAGAAAAAAGAAAAAATCTGATTACATCAATAAATACATCTTTGAATACATCAGTTTTATAATTTACCCACAGTATACGGCCTAACAAAAGAAAATTTCCCATTGTAATGGTTCTAGCTTATAGAAGATTCTCTATAAAGAAACTTCTGTTTTCATCATAGTTAGTTTGTGAATAGATGTTGGGATACTTATGGTTTCCTCTGGACCAGGGTAGTGGCAGTGGTGACATTAAGTGTTGCCAAAGACAGGTCTTTCCAGGAAATGAGGAAGCCCACAAAGTTCTAGGGTTTTGCATTCTCCTGTGAGTGCTAAAAAAGGTACTTCTCTAGAGGAGTAAGTGCCAAAAGCAGGAAGAAATCTGTGTCCTAGAACATAGTGCCATGTCTACGTTTCTGTCTCCCATAAAAAGATTTCTGATTAAAGTGTCACTGGAACTTGTCCCCTTTAGTAATATAAATATTACTGTAATCTTTCTAGTTCCTTTCCTGGAGTGTTCCTGCTCAAATGTACATATTAGGCCCAAATCTGCTACACGACGAAGCCACTTTCAGGTTACTTATTACCTACCTTTGGCGTAATAAAGAAGTACTGAGAAGTGTTTTCTTTACAAGCAGTATTTACAACCATTTCAAACACTCTGCGTTCATTGATTGGGTCCATTCCCTAAACCATGACAATAATAATGATTATATTAAACTTATTATGAGATATAAGATAAAATAAAACTCAAGTGAAAGAATAATCACTGTACCTGATTGATTTCATCAACTACTCGGAATGGACACCTATTAAGCTCCTGAAGTGCCATCAAGTATAACATGGTAGAAACACTTCTTTCACCTCCGCTTTGATGATGAGGAGTTAATTCATGCAGTTGAGTACTACTTCGAAATTTGACTCTAATTCGAATTCCATATTTATCATAGTCTTCCTATAAGATGTTAAAAAAGTTAATAAAAGATGAGAGATCTTTGATAACTTCATACTATTACATAAAAATAGACTGAATAAATCAATTATAAGAAGAAAGAACTTAAAAGTTTAATGACAGTTTAAAGGAAACCAATAAAATATTAAAGAACCAGTTGCTATTTACAAGCTTTAGTGGGTCTCTAAGGATCTATTTCAGTAAGAAAAATAACCAGATTAAGAGTAACTTTTTTCCTTGTCTCATACCATTCCTTTCAAGTTTAGTAGTTTTCCCTGAGGGTTTTTGAAATTACTAAGTGAAAAGCCCCATCGTGGAAAGTCATGGAAAGGCACTATCTATTCCAGCTCCTTAAGTGCTAGGTTTTAAAGCTATAGGTGCAAATAATTAGAACAGTGGAATATCATGCTGTTTTCTCTTAGAAGCAGCTGTGTATGTCACTACAGAGGGCTCAGTGTCCTCTTCTTCAGCAGGTTAAGAAGAAAAATGTAGGCAGAGAATATATGCATACTTAAATGACACTTATATTTAATCAAATATATACACACAATACTTAGCAAAAACCTGGCACATAATAAGTGCTCATTAAATATCTGTAGTAATGAATGCACTTAGTGTTCTTTATATTTTGACTAAAATGAGGCTGCTCTAAGGCTTGTTTACTGTTCTTATTAGTCATTTCTAGACCAGTCAGATTCATATTTACCCTAAAAATGAGATAACGCAACTTGATAATTAAAGGTTAATAACTAGTTAATGAAAATAGAGCTTTTAAGGTCTAAGAGAGCACTGACCAAGAGAGAGAATGCAAGCCATGCATGCATTTAAAATGTTCTAGTAGTCACATTAAAGTAAAAATGAGATTAATTTTAATATTTAATTCAATATACCCAACATATCTTTAACATGTAATCAATATAAAATGTTTTAAGATATTTTACATTCTTTTTTCATACTAAGCCTTTAACATTTATGTATTGTACATAAATGTTACACACATTTTACATAAATGTTACAGCACATTGTACACATTTCAGTGCTCAATAACCAAGTGTAGTTAGTGGCTACCATAGTGGACAGCAGAGATCTAAGATTAACAGTAATAACTTCTATAAAAATACAAATATCTTAATCATAAAAAAAATCCTTATAGCTATCAAATTGTAGAAATACGCCACCTTCAATCTTTTTGCCCTCCAAAAGCAAAAACAAAGCAAATAAATAATAAGTTTTAATACTTTCAATTCACTTTTTAAATTTATACATTCCTTTTATTCCACAACAAATTTATTAACTACACTATTTCTTAACTATAACAGCTCTAATTGTTAGTTTTGTTTTGGGCTCTGCCACCCACTCTTTTTGCTCATCCTAGGATCCTTCCTTCATCTCACTGAAAACTCTGGCTAAAGAAAGAGTTCTAGAATTATGACTGAGGAGCCCAGAATAGTAACATTCCAAGGGGGAGGCTGAGAAGAGATAAGAATGTCCATTTTCCAGGGCCCATGGCTAGGTAGGACTATTGAACTGAAAAGACGAAGAATCACCTCTATGGTAGTAAGTTATCATTTAAAACACAGAATAACTATCCAGAAGAAACAGTACTATGCAATAGGTTCTAGATTAAAGGTTGGGATTTCTATTATCGTTCTAACCATTGGTTTCCCTATGCTTACTTGATCGTAATTATGCCTTATCTGGTCAAGAGGTTTGATAAAGCTCTCAGTAATCAAATTTTCATCCCATAAAAACTATACCACTTCCACTGAAGAAACAGAGTTAAGAGCTTAGGCTCTGGGATCAGATCTGGGGTTTGATTTTTTTGTTTTTTTGTTAATCCTCACCCAAGGATATATTTTCCATTGGTTTTTAGAGAGTGGAAGGGAGAGGGAGAGAGAGAGAGAAACATTTATGTGAGACACATTGACTGGTTGCCTCCGGTACATGCCCTTGACCGGAATCAAAGCCGGGACCCTTCGGTCCGCAGGTCGAAGCTCTATCCACTGAGCCAAAGCGGCTAGGGCTCCTTACACATTTCTTAAGGTAATTTTATTTTACCAACAATTGCAATGTATAAACTTATAGCTCAAGAAATTAGCAAATTTTCAAATATTTTCATCTTGTGAACTGTTAAATTCTGATCAAAAGGAAACCACTGACATTAGACTTTATTTCAGTTATGTCTGCCAGTTTATGACTCTGCTAACTTGGAGAGTGGTAGATTTATAAGGCAATGCAATGCATTTACTCATCACAGCTGAATAACCATTACTTAAGTCTGGATATAAAGAGTCAAGTATTAGTCACCAATCTCAAATGTCAGATACACACATAAGTGACCCTGATGAAATTCTATTGGTGGTCCTTTCATTCCTTTGAACAATTTTTTAGTAAGCAAAATTTTCATATATAAATCTAGGGTAAATAACAACATACATACAATTAAAATTACTTGCCAGGAAACATTTCAAAAGCAATTTTACCTCATTTTCTATATGGAGATCAACTTCACCAGCACACTGCATGGAACTAAAAAAATTGCTGAATTTTTCATTAATTTTTTCTACTAGCTCTTTTAAAGGATTAAGCCACCTTTCTTTTACCTGCAAATAAAGGCAATATAAAAACACAATTTAAAAGAAGTGTTTTACATTCTGATATACTTTATATAAAACAAATTTAATATCAGTATTAATCTAGTCACAAGAACAAACATTGCACTTTTTCTTAGAAACATATCATTTCATTTTGTATTATTCTACATATGATTAATGGTAAGAACACAACAAAAAGAAAAGATAAAGAAAACAATTACCTGTGAAATGCTTTCCCTATATTTATCCAGTTCAACTTTCTTTATCTTTAGTTCCTCAGTTAATTGCTCAATTTCTTCTTCTCTTTTTGTGTATTCCTCAACAACCTAGCAGGGAAAAATCATTTCTTTAAAATAAATCTACCAAAGGATAAAATTACAGACAATTTGCATTAATTAAAACATTAATTGAAAATGCCAATGTGTTGCATTGTTTGTATGTTCTTATAACATACTGAAAATGCCATTTTTTATTCTGAAAAAAAAAATAAACACTGCAGTATTTCAGGTTAGCCCAACTATTCTTTTTATAAAGAAAAGGCACAGAACACTGTGTTCCTTAGGAAGAATCTATTTAAAATTCTAATAGATTCAGAAATCTGGCATTTAAAGCACATTGTTCCTGCTGTCTAGCTTATTATTACCAAGAGCTCTAGTACAGAGTGGGAGGCAAGTACTGGAGGAAACTCTATGTGTGTGTGAGTGTGTGTGTATGTGTGTGTAGGAAGAGGGTGGTGGCGGTGGCTGCAGTAGGTAATAGGGAAAGAATCATACTGTAGGATTCAGTCCTGTGAAGCAAGAAGCTCTTGATCTTTCTTCGGTTAATAAAGCATCAATTTCATCCAGTGTGTTTGGAAGGTCCTGGAAAGCCTAAGGAAGAAAAAAATTATCCATCATTGTAGATAGTACAGTGAAAAGTTAAATTCAAATAGTTAAAATATTCGGCCGAGTATCTACTACTCTACCACCATGTGTTCAACAGCATGCTAACACAGAAGGAATCAAAGAAATTATAAACAGGGTTTTTGCTTTCAAAAAGCTTACACCTTTAAAAGGAAATAAAACATATACACTTACACGGGATAATACCTTAAGGCAGTGTACTGATGTTGAGTATTAAAATAAGCAGTACATATTATATAGGCTATGGAATTTAGAGTAGGAAGTATCAGTTCATGCTACAGAAGCTACAAGAGAATAGGAGAATTCAGAGGCCCAGAATTCATCTCCGGGCCTTAAAGCAAATGGCTAAGAAAAAGCAAGGCAGAGGGGAGACAGGAGCTTGGAAAAAAGAATGAGCACTGCATACCATGGGGGGTGAGGAGTTGTGTCCATTTGGAATGTTGGGTACTTGCTGAATTGGTAGAATGGGTCCAGAATATGTGGGGCATTGAAAGAGAGCAAGAAGTTAGAACTTTATACTGTACTGAAAAAGCATCCTAAGAATCTAATTAATTTGACAGAATTTCACCACAGAACTATCCATGCCAGAGAGACAAATCAGAACAAACACTTTCCTATGAGGGGAAGCAAGCAGTACACTGTTTTTGTTTGTTTGTTTTCAGCACAACCTGCAAAGTTCTTACACTACAAGGTACAAAATGAATCTTGGAACTCTGAAAAAGATCCTGATATTACATTAATCTAATATCTTAAGTTTTTTTTAACTTTTTAGAAAGCAGTTCAACTTCTATAGGACTTCAGATATTTGTTGAATCTGACTATCCACTGAGCTTTGAATTCATGTGCTCAACACTTATTTAATATCTTCACTTAACTCTAATAAGGCATCTTAAATGTAAGATGGTAAAACATATCTTTATTTCACTCACCAATTTGAGCAAACCTATTTCTCCTCCTCATCATTCCAGTTCATGGCAAAATTTAGGGGTTCTCTCTCCCACCCTTCACCTCAAATCCATTAGCATGTCCTGCTGCCTCTGTCTCTAAACAATTCCTCAAATCTATAAGCTTCTGTCTCTAGGATTTCCTCCCTAATCCATGTCACTCTATTCTCGTCTAGTCCACAGCAATAATCTTCTGTCCCCTTACTTCCAGTCTTATATCCTTACTTTATTCTCCATACAGCAGTTAGGAGTGCTCTTTTACTTATTTTTTCAATTAATAGTTTAAAGTTCATTAAGTAATACTAATAGAAAATTCTGCCAATTTTGATGGGATGAGGAAGTTTTTTGAAGTTCATTTTATTTTACTAAAACATTTTTTTACTAAAACCATTTTTTTTTTCAATTACAGTTTACTTTTAATATTACCTTGTATTGGTTTTAGGTATATAGTATAGTGATTAGACAATCATGTATTTTATAAAGTGTTCCCCCTGATATTTCCAGTAGTTAGTCATATCACTCCTTTAAAATCTTCTAGTATATTCCATCTCAAAATGAAACCCAAACTCCTTCTATGGTATAAAAGGCCATACATGACCTGACACTGCCTTCCTTTTTGCTTGGACTAGCCCCATTGAAGATTCCTGTTATTCTAAAACATCTATATACCTAAAAGCCTAAGTGACCATTATGACCAGACAACCGGCCAGTAGTTATGATGCACACTGACCATCAGGGGGAAGAAGCTTAACGCAGGAGCTGCCCCCTGGTGGTCAGTGCACTCCCACAGCCAACCTCCCATGGCTGGCCAACCTCCCACAGTCCCTCCCGCCGGCCGGCCAGCCTTGATGGCCAGGCCGAGGGACCCTACCCATGCATGAATTCGTGCACCAGGCCTCTAGTGTCAAATATTATTCTGTCCTGGGGGCTTTGTATGAACTGTTTTTTCTGCCTATGATATTTTCTCCCTCAAATGTTCCCTAGACTGATTTCTTCTCTTCACTCAGGACTCATCTAAAATATTATCTTTTCAAAGGAACCTTCCTTGACACTCTATCCTCTTACCTTGTTTTATTTTTAGCACCTCTTCCTACCCAACATCTATTTGCCTTTTTATTTGTTTTTTTTTTTAATCTGCCACATGATTCAGACTAGAATATAAATTTCAGTAAAGAAGTCTGTCTGTCTTGTTCAATACACATACACACATTTTTAATGAATGTATGAATTATCTCCTAATTTTGTTCCTTTCAAAAGCAGTATGACTTATCAAGGATAGAATCATGCTACTTTCTGAAAGAAAAATTACTACAGATATATTTACATTTATTTTATGATAACCCAATGTATTTTGGAGAAGTTCTAGCATATTTTTAGAAATAATAGCTCCTCAATTTGTCTTCAAAAATCTACATTCTTATTATGTACCCAGTCTATTCTTTGTGATTTCTATGTCTGATATCATAGAGTAAAACATTTGAGGATTTGAAAATTATAGTTCAATTAATTTTTTTCCAGTTTTACTTATATCCTTGTAGACATTTCATTATATCCTTAGTAGACATTTCCTTATCTACTGAAATAAGTAACATTTGAAATTAAGAATTCAAGAAATCCATACAAATGTCAGATATCTTAATATATTTTCTATTCATTTTCTCATTGTGACATTATTCTAAGAGGATAGGCATGTAGCCAAGGTATTATCCCTACTTGTAGAATAAGGCTTAGGGTCACAGGGCTATATAATTGGTGGAATTTGGCTAAAGGGCAGGATCTCCTCATGTTACTGAGTGATATATCAGCATATAATGGAAAGAAAGGCTCTTTTCTCCTTTCCTTACCAATAAATGTTTGCCCTAAAGATTCAGTTCCCATTGAACTCCAAATAAAAACCCAATATTCAGGAAAACATTTTCATTTTGCCTGCTTTTCTAAATATCACCTCTACTTACTGTTTCTTATATACCAATTACTGGTACTATGTTTCCATGAAAAACCACATCCCATTTCCCAATCCTACTCCTGAAAAGTGGCTTGGGGGAGGGACATTTCATTGGAAAAATGAATGTTATGGTACTAATAATTTTGCAAGGTGATACCCATGTTTTAAAAACTTTAGTACTAAGCAACACGAGTGACGTGCAAGTTTGAATACAGTAAAGAAAATTTGTTTAGCAAAATTACATACTCAGTTGAAAATCTCCTATTTTTTATGGAACATCATGTTTTTCATGGGCCATTACAATGCCTAACACATTTTAAGCTTACAAATAATGTTAACTTGTGGCATTATATACTTTTTATACTTACTGTTTGATATTCTTGAGGAACGGTCTGCTCTGCACCCAGGTTACATACTTGCCTAGCTCTCCTCATAAGCTCCTTGCATTTCTGCAATAATCGCTGTCTATTTTCATCCAACTCAATGAAATGTTGCTATTATAAGAAAAAAATATTTTGTAAATTTGAACAGAGGGCTATTTTTTAAAATTACATTACATTACATATCAAATAAGTTATTAAATTTTGATTGTGATAAGCAAATAATCAGAAAACCGTATCTCAAATGACTGCTTTTATTGTAAAGGTTAAATCTGAACTTAAAAGTTTATCAGCATGTACAACATTTCTCTAATCCATAAGAACTTTAAATTTAATTGCCTTTCCCTCAGTTTGATTTAGCTATATATAATTTCACTCTAATGAAATTTGAAATACACAGTGTATAGGCTTCCTATCAGAAAACTCAGCACTCAAATGTAAGTAGAACCTTTGATAGTTTTCCAAATGCCTGTCCATATAATTATCATTTATTCATGGACACATTCATTCCTTCACCAAATCATTATTGAGAATCTATTAAATGTCAGTTTTTATTATGCACTGAGCAGAGAAACGTAAGGGGGAAAGATACATAAAATCACTGTAAAAGAAACAGCTATTATTTATTTAAAGCTTATGTGCTAGATGCTTCACACATATTATTCCCTTATTTCTCATAACACTGAACAGTAATATTGTTCCCACTTTGCACATTAAAAAAAAAAAAAAGACAGAGAAATTAAAGCAACTTGTCCAATCTCACACAATTAGTTAGAGGCTGTCAGGATTCACATCTATGCCTGCTTATAGAGCTCATGCTCTTTTCATTATATCCTCTCAGTGGGAGAGATTGAACAAAGAAAAGCAAAAGAAAGTATATACATGGTGGTAGGGGATGCAGAAAGGCCAGAGTAGTCACAGAAGCTATGATAAGTGAATGGTCTTAAAGGACAAGTATGAAATTACTAAAGAGCAAGCAGCAGCAGGCATTCCCAGGATAGGTGATTACACAAGTAAAGGCAAGGAAGCTCAAAGATCCACTTATTTATGTAACAAGATCTAACATGTGTGGAGGAGAGGTAAGGATATAAAAGATCAGAATGGCAAGAGCCAGATGGCAAAAGTTTCATGTGTAACGAGAAGGGCATCATGGAATGCCTTCTGTGGCCCAAGCTTTGTTATAACCACTATCATATATGTTAATTAATCTAATCCTCACAATCTAAAAAAATATAATCTCCTTTTCTAGATGTGGCTCAGAACAAGTTTCTTAATATGAAACTTGTTCAAGATTACAGAAATAGGTCAGCAGGTTTCTAAGAAGACAGGTCGAGCTTACTCTTTCCATTAAACCTCAAACTTCAGTGTGCACAAAAAAATACCTGGGGTGGTAGATTATTAAAACAGTAATGATATACCAACCATATGCCAGACCTATTTGATTAAGTTCTCTGGGGCTGAGGACTGAACATCTGTTATTAACAAGGTCCTCGGGTGATTTTTAAACACACAAATTTGATAGCAAATAAACTAAACCAAGACAAAATGTTATAAAAAGTAAAGGTATATATACTGGACTGAACTGAAAACACAAGCAAGCCTTTATACTAATCACACAGTACTATAGTTTCCTTTAATGAATTCCTCAGTCTCTACACCCTGAGAGAAATAAAAATAAAGGTTAGTTTCCCAATCATCCCTACTCTGCTCTCTAGGGACAATCACACTTAGGCAAACGTAAAACAAGGAACAGCTAAATAGAAACTAAACACGCCTAAAGTCTTCTATTCCCGCTTCCTAGTACTCTGGACCTTGCTAAATGAGATGTTAGAACACCCTGGGAAAGAAATCCTTGAGTTGAACACGTGGGGCTCTGTGCTTAGGGGGGACAAAATCTCACTCAAAGATTTCCTTCTCTTTGGTGGCATATGTCTAATAAAATCTTTACCAGAGATGTTCTTTCAATAGGTACACTTAAATAAATAAATTTTTAAAAAAATCTGAGCTAGCCCAGCCAGCGTGGCTCAGTGGTTGAGCTTTGGCCTATGAACTAGGAGGTCATGGTTCAATTCCTAGTCAGGGCACATGCCTGGGTTGCAGGCTCAATCCCCAGGGTGGGGCATGCAGGAGGCAGGTGATCAATGATTGTCTCTCATCATTGTTGTTTCTATCTCTCTCCCTCTCTGAAATCAACAAAAAAAATATTTTTAAAAAAATGAGAGAGAGAGAGAGAGAGAGAGAGAGAGAGAGAAACATCAATCAGCTGCCTCCTGCATAAGCCCCGATAGGGGATTGAACCTGCAACCTGGGGATGTGCCCTGACCAGGAATCAAACCTCAACCATTGGGTATATGGGATGATGCTTCAACCAACTGAACTACACTAGCCAGGGCTATACATACTAGTACATTTTTGTGACATACCTCTTCACATAACATCTGTCCCCCACCCCCACAATTGTTGAGATTTATTTTGGGGGGAGGGTAAGGAGTGGAAGGGAGTATAGAATTATGTAAGATGATAATGTACAGTTAGGCTAGTAAAAAGAACTTTATATACATTTCTACTTAAGAGTCTAGCCCAGCCGTGGGCAAACTACGGCCCGTTTGAAATGAATAAAACTAAAAAAAAAAAAAGACCGTACCCTTTTATGTAATGATGTTTACTTTGAATTTATATTAGTTCACACAAACACTCCATCCATGCTTTTGTTCCGGCCCTCCGGTCCAGTTTAAGAACCCATTGTGGCCCTCGAGTCAAAAAGTTTGCCCACCCCTGGTCTAGCCCTTAACAATTAATACACAATAGAAATGTTTCATCTATGTAAGACATAAGGGGAAAAAAGAAAAAGTTTACAAAATACCTCTCACCAACATCTCAGAAAAGATTAGTTTGTAGGATATATGCTGAGAGGGAATTAGTAAGAATTATCTTTTCTCTGAAATTCTTTTTGAGAAAGTTCAACTGGCATGAAAGGTGTACAGAAATAACTTAATGAAGGAAAAGCTTCTCTAAGAGGGCCCTCTTGTGGAAGAAATCAGAATTGTTCACATAATTTCTTATTAAATAGCAGGTACACATGAAATTATTTAACACAGTAATTCTAACAACTTATTAAAATAAGAGTCAAACAGAGTACAGTTAGGCTAGTAAAAAGGAACCAAACTAAGTTCTAGATAGCATGAACTCTGAACTTTTACTAAAACACTAGCTGTAAATTAAAACATTTCTTCTTCAATATTTTAATACAAGCACAAAATTTCATTCCAATTTAAATGGTCTAAAATCCAAATGTTACCTATATGTTTTAATACATATAAGATAGCATACATATTACAATAAAGTAATGGCAATAATACTATTTACTTGTTAAATAACCCCCCTTCCCCCAAATGTATCTCATTTTAAAAATGTCTCCTCTGAAATTTTTTTTGGGGGTGGGGTGGGAGAGTGCTAAGCAGGTAGGGAGAGGAGAGAACATTAGATAAAAGCACAGGATTTAGTATTAGGATTAACAAACTAATTTCCAATCTTTAATTTATATTGATCCTGATATAAATAGATACTTTTAAGGAAATATTGGTGTACACTAAGCATATTAAATTAAACTAGAGGCCTGTTGCACGAAAAGATTCGTGCAATAGGCCTTCCCTTCCCCTGGCTGCCGGCACTGGTTTTCCTCCGGCACCCGGGACCCAGGCCTTCGCTCCGGCCGGAGCCACCTTCAGTCTTCGCTCCACCGCTTGGCGCCTACGTATGCAAATTAACCGCCATCTTTGTTGGCGGTTAATTTGCATATCATTCTGATTAGCCAATGGTGGGCATAACGAAAGTACGGTCAATTTGAATCTTTGTCTATTATTAGATAGGATATCACAATCTCCTGCAGGTCAGGTATTTACTAGTATTATAATATCTATGGCTGAAAATTACACGCTTGGAGTGTTAGGAAACTTGCCCGCGGTAAAAAACCAAGTTCTAGGTATATCCATCCATCTGTCCATCTCTGTATCGGGATTCACATGCACTCACCTTACTAATTTGTTCTGAAAATATTCCAGAAAGTAGTGACATAATTACAAGACAGAGGTTCACAACATTTGCCTTTCTCTGGGGGTGTTTTGTAGGTCTGTAATCCTGTTTCCCTATTTGCTTTCCAACAATTTGGGAAAGTATTAAATTTGAGGGTGGTGGTTAGCTATTCCCGAGTTCCATCAAGGATGATAACCCCTTCTGAAATTTTGTGTCAATCTTCTTTTGTGAACTTGTTTCAGAATCAGAGTAAATAAAGGACAAAAACAGAAGTGGTAATAATGGTTCCTTAGTGCAATCTGCCAGGTATTCAGAGGGACAAGTAGGGAAAAAAATGATTTCTCCTTGTTTCAAATGATGTAGGAGAGTAAGAAGAAGGGTAAGAATATGTATAGGTAAATGACAGCAAACATGAGAAGAAAAAAAAAACAAGTAAGAGAGAAAGAGAACTACCATACACCTACTCTAGTATGTATTCTTTCACTATCATTTCTGGCTATTTAAAATGTGGTTAGTGATTATGGTCAGTCAGCAACAAATCTGTCAAGTACACACTGCATAAAAATAGAGGAACTTTACAACAGGGTTGGCAAAACAGTTATAAATAAAAAGCATTAAATGATTTTCAGATCAACACATGAAAAAGGGAAGCAGAATGGTGCAAAATATTCCCGAGAAAAGTCAGGGGTTGTACCAAGTAAGATTGGTATGGGAACACCTGTCTAAGGTGTGCATATGTGGGGGATATGAAGTAGAGATCTAAGTGGGTATTATTTATAGGTAACAAAATCTAGACAAGCAGCTCATCAGAAATTAGTTATCTGGACAGTATAATGTGGCCATTTTTGTAAAAAATTACTTAGTGACTCAAAGATTAAAAACAAAACCTCCTCCCAAGAAACTTTCCTATTCTCTAGAGTAGTCAGCTCCATTGGAAATATGAATATTTCTGCTACTACTAATAAAATGGATCATAAGAGAATACTCTGTTATCCTGCATCTAATCTTAGTATATCTATGTGAACAAAGGCTGTTGGAAAAATATTTCTCACTATGTCAAGAGGGGGTTAAGCTTGGGAGAA